CCAGCTGTGCATGCACCCACTAATTCTTTATTTCAGTCAGGAGCCCACCCGCCCCCTCCCCACGCTCACCCCCAGCCGTCTCATCCCCAATTCCCAGCTCCTCCTCGGGCTCTGCCGGGCTCTGGGCGCCCCCCAGGACCCCGCAGGACCCCCCCGGGGGGCTGCACTCACCAGGGACTGCAGGATGGCGTGGTTGGTGGCGTTCATGCAGGAGTCCAGCGGGAACGCACACTCCCCCTCGCAGTAATAGGCCGAGTATCCCTGCGGAGCGATCACCCAGTCCTGCAAAACCAAAAAAAAATGGGATTACACCCAGGGCTTCGCCCTTCTGTGCCCCCTCATCCATTCCCCACCTGCACAAACAGCTCGGCCACCTCCTCCCCGCGTGGCTCTGCCAGCAGCAAGGGTTTATTTGGATTTTTTGGACCGAGCCATGGGTTTATTTGGATTTTTTTGACCGAGCCATGGGTTTATTTGGATTTTTTGGGCCGAGCCATGGGTTTATTTGGATTTTTTGGACCGAGCCATGGGTTTATTTGGATTTTTTGGACCTAGCCATGGGTTTATTTGGATTTTTTGGACCTAGCCATGGGTTTGTTTGGATTTTTTGGACCGAGCCATGGGTTTATTTGGATTTTTTGGACCGAGCCATGGGTTGTTGGGGGTCACCTGTGGGGTTTGGGGTTGTGGCAGTTCATGTTTGCCTTCCCAGCTCCCGGGGTGGTTTCATGGGCGGGAGAATCCAGCCCAGGGTGGGGGAATGGAATGATGGAGGGGTTTTTTTTTTTGGTCATTTACTTCTCCCAGCAGACAAGTACCAGCCAGCCGAGGTCCTGGAAGCTGACGTAGAGCTCGTGGCGCCGGCAGACCTGCCGCCCGTCTGTGGCGTGGACATCGTCTGTGGGGAAAGGGGACACGGAATTTCAGCTCTGGAACCCCCGTCCCGCCCTTCCCCTGCACTCATCCCCCTCAGAGGGGGTTGGATACAGCCCCTGGGATTGGGATTAGCCAGGAGAACCAAAGCACAGGAGCATTTGCTGCTGCACGAAGGGAAAAGCAGCTCCAGACACGCCTATCAATGGATATTCCAATACTGGGATGAAGGAATTCTGCCTTGGAAGGGCTAAACCCCAGCTTTGCTCACTTTGAGGGTTTCCCAAACTCCCTGCTTTCAGGGCCTTCCTGTTCCCCTCCTGCCTGAGCTTTCTGGAGCTGTGACACCTTCCCAGGGCTCCGAAGCCAAGGGCAATGAGGCAAAAATTCCAATATTCAGTAATCCTGACACGCTCACACCATTTCCTTGAGGGCATCCAACCCAAACCCTCTCTGCACCTCCCAAACTGCACAAACCTCCCACCCTAAAACCTCCCAGCTTTTGGCTCCCTTTCCCTTGGGCCAAAAATTGGGATTTCAAGGTGCTGACAAGCAGAGCCTCGTGTTTTCCATAGGGATCCCTCCTCCTCCAGAAAACACCTCACCAAAAATTCCCGGGAGCTTGTTTGGGTGGGGGAGGTCGTTGGATTTCTTGTGTTGCCGCCTCCTCGGGGGTCTGGCCGCTCGTGTGACACGGCCAGGGCTGGGGTTGGCTCGGGAAAATGTCACCATGAAGGGCTGCTTGGAGCGGGGTCCCCGGCGCCCCAGGAGCCCGGCCGAGCCCGGATCCACGCTGTGCCCTGCGGGGGACACGACCGTGGGTGGCTTTGTCCTCAAACAGAACCCGTTTGGTTAAAGCAGAGATTGGAAATGCAGGGAATTCGCAGCAGGAGCTGCGGTTTTGGCACCCCAAGGGGTCGGAGCCCCCTGAGGATTCTGTTCCAGCGCCAAACGGGGCTGTTCAAGGATTAAAACCGATTTTCTCCTTCGCTCCTGTGGAGGGAAAGGAATGGATGGGGCGTTCCTGGCTGTGATTCCTCCTCCCATGGAAGAGGAGCTGCTCCTTGCATGCCTTCCCACCTGGAAAAAGCTGGAGCAGATTTAATCCCGTGGGGAAAAGAGGGTTAATCCTCTGCCACACACACAGAGGATCCCTCCAGGTAAGGAGTTCATTAACGGGGTTAATTACAGTCCATGTACAGAACCTACAAACCCGGACTGCTGGCATTCATCACGGCTGGAAGTTTAAAATTGCTCTGAGATCAATCCCCCCACCACCACCTCCCACGGCGCCGAGAGGACTCCAATTCCTGGGAATTTGGCCCCAAAGGCTGCAGGCAGGTCCGGCACACTCACCATCGTCTGTCTCCACGTAGAGCCGCAGCCCCAGGTGGTGTTTCTGATCCCCTGACCAGTGGTTGCTGGCGGCTGTGACATCAAACACCAGCCAGCCCTCTGTCCCAGCACGCAGGTCCTGCACATCCAGCAGGAACAGGTCGGATTCCCTGCAGGAACAGGGGGAGAAGGAGCAGGTGAGTAACAGCACCAGGATGATGAATGGAAACGACTCCTGGGAGCTGTGTCCGGACAGATCCCGGCTCTCCGTGCTGGACACCACGGGGGTGTCCTGGGAAAAGCTCCCTCCACGTCCAGCTGGAGATGCCAGGGCGGGCACTGCCCTGTGGGAAGGTGTGGGAGCAGCCGGACACGGTGGTGCTGCCTCGGCTGGGGTGGGAAAGCCGGGAGCTGGTCCTCATTCCTGTCTCCATCCTCATCACCTTCATCCCAATTCCCATCCCCATCATCCTCATTCCCATCCCCATCATCCTCATTCCCATCCCCATCACCCCATTCCCCTCTTCCATTCTCATTCCCTTCGTCTTCATTCCTGTACCTCCTCCCATTCCCATCATCTTCATCCCCATTCCCATCATTTTCATCCTCATTCCCATTTTCATCCCCACTCCCATCATCTTCATCCACATCATCTTCATCCCCATTCCCATCATCTTCATCCCCATCTCCATCATCTTCATCCCCATTCCCATCATCTTCATCCCCATTCCCATCACTTTCAACCCCATTCCCATCTTCATCCCCATCATCTTCATCCCCATTCCCATCATCTTCATCCCCATTCCCAACATCTTTATCCACATCATCTTCATCCCCATCTCCATCATCTTCATCCCCATTCCCATCATCTTCATCCCCATTCCCATCACTTTCAACCCCATTCCCATCTTCATTCCCATCTTCTTCATCCCCATTCCCATCATCTTCATCCCCACTCCCATCATCTTCATCCCCATTCCCATCATCTTTATCCACATCATCTTCATCCCCATTCCCATCACCTTCAACCCCATTCCCATCTTCATCCCCATCATTTTCATCCCCATTCCCATCATCTTCATCCCCATTCCCATCATTTTCATCTTCATTCCCATCATCTTCATCCCCACTCCCATCATCTTCATCTTCATTCCCATCTTCATCCTCATTCCCATCATCTTCATCCAAATTTCTATCGTCTTCATCCTCATTCCCATCTTCATCCCCATTTCCATCATATTCATCCCCATCATCTTCATCCCCACTCCCATCATCCCCATTCCCATCACCTTCATCCCCATTCCCATCATCTTCATCCCCATCTCCATCATCCTCATCCCCATTCCCATCATCTTCACCTCCATCCCCTTTCCCACCCCCATCATCTTCATCCCGACCCCCATTCCCATCTTCCCCACACCCATCCTCCTCCTGCCATACCCCCTCCCACCCCCTTCCTCCCCACTCCCACCGCACTCATCCTCATTCCCGCCCTTCCCAGCCCGTCACCTGTTGGAATTTTGGGGATCCACCTCGTAGATGCTGAGGTGGAGGCTGCTGTTGGCGTGCCTGGGAGCACCGCGGCTTTTGTAGATGCGGAATTCCGCGGCCGTCACGGCCTCTCCCGCCGGCACCTGGGTCAGGTCGAACCTGAACTCCTTCCAGTAGGGCTTGGGCGAGAACAGGTCCCGGTCCTGCTCCACTGAGGAGCAAAACGTGTCAGGGATCCGAGCCTGGAACTCCCCCAGCTCCCCCCAGACGGATTTTGGGGATAAACCCGCTGGTTTTGAGCCGCCGGGAAATTCCCGGCTCCTGAGAGCTCGAATCTGGGTGCAGCCTCTTTTATTTCTGCCGTTTATTTTGCTGTAAACCCACCAGCTGCTCCTCCCAGCCCTTGTTAATATTAAAATAATTTAAGTTAAAATTAAAAGCACAAATTAAAATTAAACTCCAAGCTGGCTATTGGAGGAGCACAGGGATTGTGCCGTGCTTTAGGGGCTGCAGCATTTTGTGCCTCATCATGAGGTGAAAAACACAAAAATTTGAGTTTTTGGGGGTCAGCAGAACCATCTGGAGCAGGAATTGGGATTTTCCAAACCTTTCTTGCAGCAGACAAGGCTCATCAGGGCCATCATCACAGGCCACAAGTAAAGATTTGTCCACGAGTAAAAATTTATCCACAATTAAAGATTTTCAGCCTGTGTGATTTTGGGGAGTTGGGGGGGGATTATCAGGTCACTGATCTGTAAAAAAAAAAACCCTCCCCTTTTTCCTGAAAAATTTCTCCATCACACTGGGACAGGAAAAATCTGATTTTATTCTGTTTGTCCTTAAAGAATGAACCTTCCTTCTCTATGGTAATGCAGCCCCCACAGTTTTGTTAATGTGCAAATTATTTGCATCAAATTGTTCTTTAAAAATATCCCAATCTTCCTAGCCTGGCTATAATTAAAGTTTATGATTAAATATGATTCAAATGTGACTAAAGCTTCTCCTGCTTCAGGCGCAAAAGCAATTTGACCTGGTGCTTGCTTTTAAAACTAAAACAAATAACCAACTAAATCAAAAATAAACCTTTTAAATGCATTTTTTAACTAATTCCAGGGGGGAAATATCCCAAATTTAATCCACCATAAGCTTTCCATTCCCATTTATACAGAGGGAGCAGCGCATCCCTCCAAACCCAACACCGAGATTTTACTTACACAAGTAAGCAACGAAAAAACCCAAGTTTTTTTCCTTCTTCTTCTTCTTTTATCCTTTTTTTTTATTTTTTTTTACCCCTTTTAAATTTTATTTTCTTTTTTTTTTTTTTTTTGGTCAGATCCCACATTCCCTCCAGCTCCTGGCCTCACCACAAGTTGTGTTTTAAAAAAAGCCCAGGGCAGGGCGGATGCGGAGAGCGCTTCCTGCTCCGGCGGGGCGGCTGCCAGCAGCAGCAGGAGGATGCTCTGGGGTCCTGCCCCCCTTTTTTGGGGGACACAGAGCCCCCCAAACCCTCTCCAATCCCTTTTTTCCATTTATTCCACCGTCCCATGGCGGGATGGTTTTATTCTCACTGGATTATTGGTGCTGCCGAGGCCTCGTGGCGCTCACAAAATCCTTGAATTCCCCCCCAAAAACGCACCTCTGTTTTTTTTTAGCACTGATAAAGCCCCGGTGTTTATCCCACGGATGATCCTCAGGTACGGAGTGGTGTCCCCTTGGGTGACCCCAAAATCTTTGGCTGTAGCTCTGACCCAGGTGGTTTTTTTTGGGGGGGGTGGATTTTACTGTCAGAGCCAAGGAGGTCACGGAGACCCCACCTCAGATTTAAAAAAAAAAAAAGCCAAAAAATTGATTTTTATCCCTAGAAAAGAGTGAAAACCTCTGCTAAAATTATTTATGAAAACTTCCTGTCGCTGTGGAGGTGATGGAGGGGCCCAGGGATGAAGGCAGAGGAGGGGGTTTGGTGGCAGGGGAGCCCAGGGACACCTCAGCAGTTGGAGAAATGCTAAAGGGGCTGCAATTAGCTGAGCTCCTTGATGAACCAAACAAGCCTGCAGCAATCTGTTATTGGGATAAAATTCCAGGAGGAATCCCTGAATCCTCTGCTCCTGCAGGGAGAAGCAAAGGGAACCCCTTTGGAGGGGGAGAACAGAGGGAGAAGCTTCCCCGCTCTGTGCCACAGACTTGGAGAGGCTCCAGCACCGCTAAAATAAAAATGGTTGTGAAATGAGAACCCTGCAGCTCCCCCCGAGCACCCAGAGGAGCCGTGGGTGCTCAGACCCTGCTGGGGGTGTGCTGGAGGTGCCCCCCCGGCTGCTTTGGGGAGCCCAGGGTGCCTGGGAACCTGCCCCCGATTCGGGTTGACTCAGCCACACCACCAACCCTCAATTATCTGTGGGCGGATTATCCGGATTGCAGAGGAGACGCACCAAAAAAGCTCAACCCAAGCGCTTTGCTCTCCTTTTGCCCTCTGGCATCATCCCCAGGAGCTGCTGCGTCTCCCCCCGGAGCTGAACATGCCCCCCTGTGCTCTGCGCTCCCATCACCCCCCAAAAAATCATCTAAAAATGATTTTACACTGATAGAAACAACCCTGGGGCTGTTCCCCTGGCAGGGGATGCCCAGCTCCATCCCAGCTGAGCCTCCTGGTGTCTCCCTGAGCATTCCCAGATCTGTTTCCAGATCCCACCCTTCCTCCTGCTCCCCCAGGTTATTCTTGTGTGCTTTCTGTGCTTCTATAAACTGCGCATCAGTCGTAATTACCGGTCCTGGCTGCTCCCGATGGGTCCCCATCATCATTTCAGACACCAAATTAAAAGGAAATGCCAGGATATTCAACCACATCAAGTGCTCTGGGTCCTAAAATAGGTTTAAAGGAGATGCAGGGAAGATGCTGTCCTTCACTAGGAAAAAATAAGCTCTGGAGGCTTTTTGGAGTGGGGAGGGGTTTAGGAGTTATCCCAACACAAAACTCCCAGTTTTTGGCTCGTGAGTGCTTCCTTCTTGCTCCTGGGATGAGCAGGACACGGGGCCAGCTCTGCACACCCCCAGCCCAGCTGCTTTTGGCCGGGACACAGCCTTGGCCCCTGCCCTACACACATCCAGCCAGGAGCAGGTGGATCCCAGGGATTTATTTGGGAACTTTTCCCATTGAAACAGACACAGAGGGGTTCACACAGGGCACTGACACCCCGGCACAGGCTGCCCTCGGGTGGATGGAGAGAAGAGGAGGCTCAAATTGCTGCAGAATGAAGCCAGGGGTGGGAAAATCCTGAGCCAGCTGGATTTCAGTGGGAATTGTGTGGGGGTGAGGGCAGTGGGTGATGAACTTCCAGCGTGGAGCACAACCCAACTCCTGAAATTCAATTAAAGAGGCTGCCCTGGGCTCCCACCCCACGCTTGTGCTTCCCTGAAGCGCCTGGGGTGCTGTGGCTGTTTTTTGTTTGTGTCCTGCATTTCTCCCCGGTGCTCCCTGGATTTTCCAGGAAGGTGTTCGGCTGTGGGCACCGCTTCATCTGAAACATGGAATCACACACTGCTTTGGGTTGGAAGGAACCTTAAAGATCATCTAATTCTGACCCCTTGCTATGGGCAGGGACACCTTCCAATGGATCAGGAGCCAGGGATGCCAGGAGGGAGAGGGGGGATGTGTGTGCTGTGGTGTCCTGGGGAGCTCGGGAATGCTGTGAGTGTCCTCTCCCCCTTCCCATCACAAATCTGCTCCGTGATTACACCCTGTCCTCATCCATGACTCACAGCTGAGGAGAAATCCCAAAGCCCATCCTCACCCCGAGCTTAAAAACCCAACATCCCACCTGAGTGCTCCTCCAGAGGCACAGAAATATCCCAGGTCAGGCTTTATCCTGGCTGCAGAGCAGCCGAAGGGGTGGCACGGGCGGATCCAGCATCACCAAAGGCAGCTGGGGGTGCCCCTGGCTGTCCCTGTCCCCCAAACTGCGCCGTGTTTGTGCTGCAGGGAGCTTTGGCATTCCCCCTTCCCGGGAACGAGGTGTGCCGACAGCCTGGCTCACACAGGGCTGGCTGCAGGCGGAGAGGTCCGAGTGCCCAATGGGGCACGGCCTTTACCCTATTTGCATGTCCCATCAGGATAATTGTGCAGCTAATTTTGTATGCAAATGAGAGCTGGCCTTCTCCCACAAAAAAAAAAACCCAACCAACCCTTATTTAATTAACATGAAGGGGTTGATGGAGCCACAGAAATCAAAGCCATTCAAATTGGAGGCTGGAGCTGGGTTCCCCAACTCTCCTGGCTACTCCAGGAGCGCTGGGAAGGGGGCAGTGCCCCCCTGTACCCGCAGTGACGCTTCCCAAAGGCTCCCCTGCACATCCCACCCTGCTTCCCATCAGCCCTGACCATTTCAAATCCCATTTTGGTGCTCGGGTGTTGTCCCAAGCGCTGAGGGGATTTGGTGCTTCAGTTTTTTGTCTCCATCGCTCCCAGCTTTCCCAGGATGATGAGCTCCAGCAGTTCCCTCAGGCCTCTGGAGAGGAGCTGGGTGCACCTGTGGGTGCTCCTGGGTGTGTCCCAGGGAGACTCCTCACATCCACACGGGGTACAGGGGGTGTAGGAATGGGTGGGAGGCACCTCTGGAGCCCCTCCCTCACCTAAACCTCCTCCCAGGAGTGCAGATCCACCTCCCATCCTTTAATTCCAATTCTCCCATCCTCAGAGGTTGGGGGGGACTTTGTGCTTGGGGCACCCAAACACCCCTGAAGGCAATGAGCAGGGGCATGGAGCAGCTCCACACCCGAGCTCCTGGCCTGCAAACCCCACTGGGTTCGGAGCTCCTGCTCGGAGAGAGGACTCAGCTCATCCCGAGATGCTGGGAACAGCTCCGCTGCTGCTCCAGCAGCTGCCTGGAGGGATGCTGGAGCCTGGGAACAAGCTGGCCGGGATTCCAGCAGCAATGAGCAGCCTGGAGGATTTTATTCGGAGCCCTGATTCAGTGTCCCGTCCAGGGTCACCCTGCTGCTGCTCCCAGAGCTGCTGTCCCGAGCCCCCTTCCCTCCCCACCTTGTGCCCACTGAAATGGGGAGAGCGGCGGGGGCCGAGGCTCCCTCAGCTCGCCCTTGCTGCAGGACATTCCCCTTCTCCATTTCTCCTTTTTAAACCAAGTTGGGATTCATCCCGGCCGCTTTCACCAACACTCGTGTCCCTCACAGCCACCGTGTCCGTCACAGCCGCTCTGAGCTTAACTTTGGGCAAAAAAAGTTCCTTATTTGAGCAAGGACGCCCTGAGAAACCACTCCAGGGCCGAGGGATGCTCGGAGCTGCCGGTACCGGTCACGGACCAGGAGTTCTGGCTGGGCTCAGCTCAGCCCCGTGTCCCCCGGTGTCCCCTCGGTGCCTTCCCGGCTTTGCCACCGCCTCCTCCCCGCTCCTGCCGGTCCATTCCCGTCTGCTTTTTGTCCCCTCGGTCCCTCCCGGTCCTGCCTAAGCCTCCTGGATCGTCCCGGTGCGCTCCCGTGCTTCCCCATGCTCCGGTGCGCTCCCATGCTCCCGGTGCCCCCGAAGCCGCCGGGATCCCTCCCGCACGTCCCGGTGTCCCCTCCCGGTACCCTCGGTGCGCTCCGCTCCTCCCGATGCCCCGCACATCCCGGTGCCCCCCTGTCCCGCCGGTGTCCCCCGGTGTCCCCCGGTGTCCCCCGGTGTCCCGCAGCGGTTCTCACCCATATTGACGAGGCTGACCACGGTGTCTGCCCGGCTCACCACGCTGCCGGGCGGGGGGCTCTGCGTGCTGAGCCCGGTGAGCACCGGCCGCGACACCGCCGCTTCCTCACCCTCCTCCTCCTCCTCGCCGGCCACGGCGTGGTACAGATCGAGCATGAAGAGCGGAGCGGCGGCGGCGGGGGCTCGGGCGGGGGCTCGGGGCCGGGGCCGGCCGGGCAGCCCCAGCACGGCCAGGATCTCCCTCTGCACATCCCGGCGCTCGCCGCCGCTCAGCCGCCGCTGCGGGACCCCGGCCGAGTGCAGCCGGCGGCGGAGGACGCTGCCGCTGCCCAGCTGGCACAGCACGGCCGCCAGCCACAGCAGCGCCACGGCCCCACGCCGCCCCCCGCCCGCCCCGAGCCCCATGGCACCGCCGGGACCCCCCGCCCCACCGCCCGGGCACCGGCACGGCCCCGGCTCCGGCCCCGGCCCGCCCCGGCGGGGCGAGGGAAAGGGACGGTCCCTGCAGCGGCACCGCCCCGGCTCTCCCCGCCCGGTGGCTCCGGGAGCATCGCTGGGCACGACAGGCGGTGGGCACGGAAAGCCGCGGAGACCCAAATTCATGGGAAATCATCCCTGGGGATGCTCATCCTCGTGGAGACCCAAATCCATGGGAACTCATTCCTGGGGATGCTCATCCTCGTGGAGACCCAAATCCATGGGAACTCATTCCTAGGGATGCTCATCCTTGTGGAGACCCAAATCCATGGGAACTCGTCCCTGGGGATGCTCATTCTCGTGGGCACCCAAAGCCGTGAGCTCCCGCCCTCACTCCCAGCCAAAACCATGGGCACCCATCCCTAGGGATGCTCCTGCTGCACGGAAATCCATTCCTGGGGATGCTCCTGCAGGCTCATGGGCCAACAAATGCACAGAAATCCATTCCTGGGGATGCTCCTGCAGGCTCATGGGCCAACAAATGCACGGAAATCCATTCCTAGGGATGCTGGGCACCCTCTTCTGACCAAACCAAACCCAGGGACAGCCACCCTCAGTGGCACCCAAATCCGGGACCATCCACACCTGGGGACACTCCCCCCCATGGCCACCCCAATTCCTGGACACCCCCTTGCACCCCTTCCCCTCACATCCACTTCCCCACCCTCACCCCCCAACCTGCTGGGTTTCATTTTGGGGCTGGGAGGTCCCAAAATAAACCCCACAATAAAACCAGGGTGCAAACACCCCCTGACTTCCACAGCCACTGCCTTCCCACGCGGGATCACCAGCTCCAGCTCATCCCCACAAAGCTAACACCGGGGAATAAAGTAGGAGGCAAGATTGTTTATTACCGCAAGCAATTTTAATACAAAAATGTGCCTGTTTTTTTTTTGTTTTTTGTTTTGTTTTTTGTTTTTGTTTTTGTTTTTTTTTTAACAATTCATTGGTAGAGCTTCAGTTTTGCCTCAATTTGAAACCAATTGAGAGAATCACACAGCAACACGGTCAGAGCCGGAGAGGAACAAATATTTAATAAATACAGGAGCTGTGGAGAGCCCTTGCCCCCGGCCCGTCTCCTGGTCACTTGGTCAGTTGGATTTTATTACAAAGAAAAAAAAGGAGCGTACAAAAGCAAGACAGGACTTGCAGCGAGTGTGCTGGTGAGACTCATTTCAAGGACAAGCAACTGTGCGTGTAAGTCCAGATTTCTCCTAGGAGCAGAGTTCACATCAATCTCAGCCTGGCTGGAAGTGGAATGACCAGTTAAATAATAAATAGGAAACAGAGAGATGCAGATAAAACAGTGATTGTGTAAGGAACGCCTCGGGGCGGGCTGGTTAAGCCATTCATCCAGAAGAATTCTTGATTTTGGAGGGCCCACCACCATCCGAGTGATCCACACCTGTAATTGTACCCCGTGCTCTCCCCTGGCGTGAAGCTCCTCCTCAAACCCCTCCCCAAAACCCCTCACCCTCGGTTTGTTCTTTAAAAACAAAGTTGTCAGGACAGTATTTTCAAGACAGCAAAATTGTCACGGCCTTTGCTGTAGTGTGTGCAAATTTTATTAAAGTCAAACTCCGCTTTCTTCAGGTAAAACCACGTAGCTTTTAAAAAAAATGGAAACATAAGCCCCAAGTCCCCTCACCTCATGTTTCTCTGGTTGAGGTATCTGTGATTTACAAAAAGAGAGTTCCTTGAACACTGCAGGATTCAGGTCTTTGCTTTTAAATATAATTTACCTTGCTGAGACAGCAAGTTTAGTTTATAAAGATGCATTTAGGAAACAATCCTAAAAGATAAAGCAGGTTCACACCCTGCACCGCGCAGAAATCCTATTTATATTTTAGTTTTTCTTTACACTTTCACATCTTGACCTTTTTTTTTCTATTTTTTTTTGCTTCCTTTTTTTTTTTTTTTAAATCTTTTTCTTGATTTTTTTTTCTTTTCTTTCTCTCCCACATTTCAGTTTTCCAGGCCCCTCTCTAAAAAGGGGTCACCGAGAGGCAAATTTTTTTTTTTTTTTATATCTACATAAATATTCACATGAAAATAGTAACTTACAAAAAAGGAAAAAAAACAAAAAAAAAACCCCAAAACAAGAAAAAAACAACCCCCAAAACAAAAAACAAAAAAAAAAACCCAAATAATAAGGCAGCTTCATAACACAACTTTTCTTTTACACTTTTAACAATATAGTTTCTCCCATTTAGAATAAATATACATCCAATGTACGGAGCGGGGTTAAAAACCGGACACGGGGTTGGGTTTGGGGGGTGGAAAATCGGTTGATTTTTTGCTTTTTCCTTCCTCTCCCCTCAGCAGGGTGACTGCTACAGTATTATCTTTTAGGGCCTGGAGTTTTTGGGGTGGCAGCGGGCGTTTTCTTGGACATGGTGGGGATTTTGGAGGGTTTGGCGGCTCCCCGGCGCGAGCTGTGCCCGCCGGCTGCGCTGCTCTCCGAGGTGTCCGAGCACGCCGACTGTGTCTCCAGCAGGTCGAAGTCCGAGGCATCGCTGCCCCGGCGGCTGCTGGCCCTGCTCCCCGTGCGGCTCCCGGCGCGGCTCGTGGGGCGACTGGCTGCTTTCTTGGGGTCTGCAAGGAAGAGCGAGCAGAGATGTGGGGAGGGAGCTTTGTTCCTCCTGCTGCCGCTGCCCGAGGAGGGTTTTGGTTTGGGTGGTTTTGTGTTTTTCAGGTTCTGCGCTGCGTTGGTATGTAAAAATTCTGAACTCCATAGAGAGCTCATACAGAAAGTTCTGGTATTTAATTCTGAACTTCATATAGAGCTCACACAGAAAGTTCTGGTATTTAATTCTGAACTCCATGTACAGCTCATACAGAAAGTTCTGGTATTTAATTCTGAACTCCATAGAGAGCTCATACAGAAAGTTCTGGTATTTAATTCTAAACTCCATAGAGAGCTCATACAGAAAGTTCTGGTATTTAATTCTGAACTCCATACAGAGTTCATATAGAAAGTTCTGGTATTTAATTCTAAACTCCATATAGAGCTCATACAGAAAGTTCTGGTATTTAATTCTGAACTCTATATAGCAAGTTTTCCTGGTGTATAACTCTGAACTCCATATAGAGCTCACACAGAAAGTTCTGGTATTTAATTCTGAACTCCATATACAGCTCATACAGAAAGTTCTGGTATTTAATTCTAAACTCCATATAGAGTTCATATAGCAAATCCTCCTGGTGTATAACCCTGAATTCCATATAACAAGTTCTCCTGGTACATAACTGAATTCTGTCACATAGAGCTCATACAAGAAGTTCTCCTGGTGTATAACTCTGAATTCCATATAGAGCTTATACAGCAAGTTCTGATATTTAATTCTGAATTCCATAAAGAGATCATACAGCAACTTCTGGTATTTAATAATTCTGAACTCCATATAGAGCTCATATACCAAGTTCTGGTAATTATTTCTGAACTCCATATAGTAAGTTCTCCTGGTGTTAAACTCTGAACTCCATACAGAGCTCCTACAGCAAATTTTGGTGTATAACTCTGAACTCCATATATCAAGTTCTCCTGGTATATATAACTCTGAACTCCATACAGTGCTCATACATCAAGTTCTGGTATTTAATTCTGAACTCCATATATCAAGTTCTGGTACATAACTCTGAACTTCATACAGGAAGTTCTCCTGGTATTTAACTCTGAACTCCTTATAAAGCTCACACAGAAAGTTCTGGTATTTAATTCTGAACTCCATATAGAGCTCACATAGAAAGTTCTGGTATTTAATTCTGAACTCCATATAGAGCTCACACAGAAAGTTCTGGTATTTAATTCTGAACTCCATATAGAGCTCACATAGAAAGTTCTGGTATTTAATTCTGAACTCCATACAGAGTTCATATAGAAAGTTCTGGTATTTAATTCTGAACTTCATATAGAGCTCACACAGAAAGTTCTGGTATTTAATTCTGAACTCCATATAGAGCTCACATAGAAAGTTCTGGTATTTAATTCTGAACTCCATATAGAGATCATATAGAAAGTTCTGGTATTTAATTCTGAACTCCAAATAGCAGGTTCTCCTGGTATTTAACTCTGAACTCCTTATAGAGATCATACAGCAAGTTCTCCTCACAGACAAAACAATCCTTTCCCAGCCTGAGAACACCGCTGCAGCTTCAGGCCCAAAAAGTGAAAACAACAGCAGGATAAAAGCAACAGGAGAACAGTCTGTGACTTCATAACCTGAAGCTGTAGTTGGACAATTAATTACAACTTTTCCAATATGGAAATGGACCAAAACTTATGAATGTATGAAAACTTTTGTGTTTGTGTGATCCATTGTTCATCTTGGGTGGAGCCATGGCCAGGCTCTTGCACTGCCCAAGGTGCATCCTTTGAAAGCTTTTTAATGAATCCCTGCTTTATTCCTTAAATTCTGTCCAGCCCCTGTTCCAGATCAGCCTCTCAAGGCATCACTCCCCCATCCCTGCATCAACAGTGAAACCCCCAAAACCCCAAACCTGCCCCCACCAGCACCCCTGAGCTGGCAGGTTCAACATCAGGGTTGATTTAACTGTGAAACCCCCAAAACCCCAAACCTGCCCCCACCAGCACCCCTGAGCTGGCAGGTTCAACATCAGGGTCCCGAATTTCAGCAATTCCTTGGAGTTCAGAGCTGTGCCAGCATCTCCTCCCCCACCACCCCTCAAATACACCCCTCAAATATTCTGTATTTTCTCCACTGCTCCGGGGGGGATTTTCCCCATCTTTTCCCCTCGCTCACCTGCCCGAGTGGTTTTGGCACCTGTGGAGACCGGTGAGGAGCTGTTACTGGTGTCCCCAGCCAGGGAGGTGCGGCTGGAGTGGAAGGTGGGGCGTTTCAGCTTGCTGCCCGCCGAGGGGGTGACCTTGGGAGGAAGCACACACAGGACATCCTTCAGCTGCCACC